CAGAACATGGCATCAGGGTCAGTTACCTGGAAGAAGAAGGTGCATTCTTTGATAATCAGCTCTGGGGGGTGGACCATCAAGTGGTAAAACAGTTGTTTGCTAAGCCAGCCCACAGGTACACAGGTACACGTGCTGTCCACCTTCATGGGACAGCAACAAGAGGCTGATTGATGGTTGCTGCCTGCTGCCCAAGGGGCTTCAGAAAGACCCTGCACCAGGGCCCAACACTCCCTAAGACTTGTAGGACACAGAGTGGTGACACCGTGGGACCAGAGGGACACATCAATTAGGGCTGAGGTGTGCAATCTCTCTGCTCACCAAGAGCATGGGTTCAGGTGTGCTGAGGATGAGATCACTACAGGCAGCCCCTGGGTTATGAATGAGATGCATTCCTAAGTCTGTCTTTAAGTAGAATTTGTAGGTAAGTCAGAACAGGTTCATACGGTTCTTACTTAGCATCAGTTAGTCAAATGTTTGTCTTAGTATACAGTATATATTTTACCTTTCTACGCATATAAAACACTTAAGAAACACTTCCAAATCGTAGTGTTTTCATGAGCGCCACAAAGTAGTGCGTGTTTGTTATTATGAGCCATTGTATTTAACTCAAGTTTTTAATATAATAGGCTTTACGGCAATCTGTTCTCCAGTAAGTGTTGTTTGTTAAGTCAGATATTCGTAACCCAGGGACTGCCTGTATTCACCCAGGCCCAAACGAGTACATCTGGCAATTCATCAGGCTGAGAAGAAAGATGTGCAACAGAAGTGTGGGGGGTGTGAATCATGGCAAGATCAAGCCAGAAGCTGGGGTTCAAGTCCTTTGCTAGCCCTCTCTTTTGCTGGGCAGCCCCCAACCTAGATTTCCACATCAGTAACAAGGGAGTAGAGTCCCTGGGTGGTGCAAACAGTTAAAGTGCTCAGCTTCTAACTGAAAGGTTGGAGGTTCAAGCCCACCCAGAAGCCCCTTGAAAGAAAGGTCTGGTGATCTGCTTCTGAAAAATCAGCCATTGAAAACCCTATAGAGCTCCGTTCTACTCTGACACACATAGGGTCACCACGAGTTAGAATTGACTCAATGGCAATGGGTTTAGTTGTTGGTTTGGGTGGTGCAAATGGTTAACGTGCTCTGCTGCTAATCCAAAGATTAGAGTGTACCCAGAAGTGCCTCAGAAGAAAGGCCTTGTGATCTACTTCTGAGAGATTAGCCACTGAAAACCCTATGACATACAAGAGATTGCAATGAATCAGAGTAGACTTGACAGCAACTGGTGTAACAAGGGATTGTTTGCTGCCACCATATCTGACCTGGTGGAGCTCCTTCCTAGGCTGGTGCAAGCACTGCAGGGAGAGGGGTTGTTTGTGGCTTGATGTTCAGGGGAAGCCTGCTGGAGAACCACTTCTCTTCTAGAACCTAAGACTCCACATCCCAGAGCTGCTGAAGAAAGGCTGGCCTGGCCTCTCAGAACTTGCTTGTGGCTGGGAGGGAACCTGGGAAGCCTGGCAGGTGGTGTCCTAAGGACCCCTTGGCCCCCAAGCAACCACAGAGGACCTGATTCCCTTTTGTTTCCTCCCAGGGAGAAAGGGGCAGTTTTTTCCTCAAGTGCAATTGTCAGGCTAGAAGGTGATCCAGGATGAAAAAGCACGGGATAGGGATCTGAGAGGACAGAGAAAAAGGCCTGAATCTTCTTGGAAATAGCAGAGGGAAGTCATGAGCATTGGGAAGCTATCACTATTTCAAGACAGGAAGGGAAACAGTGAAGGTACCTGTTATGGATTGAATTGTGTCCCCCCAAAATATGTGTAGAAGTCCTAATCCCTGTACCTGTAAATATGACCTGTTTAGAAATAGTGTTTTTTTTCTGTTGATGAGGTTATACCAGAATAGGGTGGGTCCTAAGCCTAATCACTTCTGAGTGGTGTCATAAGAGAAGAATAGACACATACACGGGGGTGGGGAAGGGGAGTAGACACCATTTGAGGATCTGTCTAAAAAGCAAAGGATGCCAAAGACTGCTAGCAGTCATCAGAAATGAGGAGAGGCCCACAGAAGGAATCAACATGCCAAGACCCTGATTTGGACTTTCAGCCTCCAGAACTGTGAGAAATTAATTTGTTGTTCAAAGCCACCCATTTGCGGTCTTTGTGTTACACTAGCACTAGGAAAGTAAGACTACCTAAATGGAAAAAAGTAAGCCAAGTCAAATGGCAGTCTTAACAAGAAAGAGTTCACAGACCTTGATTCTGCAGGGCCAGGGAACGTGGCGGGGTGTGGTGGGGCCAACAGTGATCTGGCCATCCCAGCTGCAGGGTGCAGACAGGCTGAGGCTGAGGAGGGAGGGAGCCAACACAGCAGGCAGATACTTGCACACACAGAGACTGAGCAAATATGCACATATGTTTAGGATGGTAGGAGCCAAGTTTCTCACTGTCAGAGGAAGGAGGTACAAACATGGAAAGGCTGAAATAAACCATGGTTGTAATTGAAGGCATTAGTGTGAAATTATGGTTTTTAGTAAGATATAGAAAAACAGATGCATGTGTCTGTATATGCATGTAAGTTACACACACATTTCCTAGATCTGACACTGAGAGGGTCTAGAGGTCATGGCATCCCAGTAACAGTGAGCACATCCAGCCCCCAGACCTTGGTTTCTAAATCCCCTTCTCCACTGAAAGAAACCAGGTCTCCTTGGAGAAATGGCTGCTTCCAAGGCTGGGGGAGGGAAAGTAGATGAGCCTGGGATGTCTCATTCCACCAGAAGGTTAAGTGCTCAAAGAAGATGTGGACACATCAAAAAAGACACAGGAGCCAGAGTGAAGGAGCACAAACTGGCCTATCAGGGACAGTGTATCAAAATAATAGATTTTAACCCACTGGTTAAGTAGGAACCTGAGTCTAATATATATTTTTTAAAAATCAACAAAATTTTTATAGGATTTGTGAATTAGATTGTATTGCTTCAATGTTAATTTTCTGATTTTGATGTGTATACTGCAGCTGCACTAGATAATGTCCTTGTTTTTAGGAGATACACACTGAAGTATTTAGGAATAATGGGGCACATTGTCTGCAACCTATTCTTGTAAGGAAGGAAGGATGGATGGATAGATGGTTGGACAGATGGCTGGATGATACAGTTGAGAAAGGAAAGAGAATGATCAAACAAGATAAAATGTAAACAAAGGGGGAATCTACATTATTTCAGAAATAATCTGAACTTACTTCAAAATTAAAAAGCTAACACATGAAAATGAGAACCGTAAACACTTACAAAGAAATAGAAACTTCGGTGTTGAGAGATTCTTCTATCAAGGCTATATTACCTCCCAGGGGATCACACATCTGGAAGCGCCCATGACCACCTCAAGCCTCTGGTCTTCAAAAATCAGACTATTTTAGCTCATTTAAAGGAGAAAGCAGTCTCAGTGACTTCAGAGGAGTAGACAAGTACCTTGTTTTATTGCCATCAGACAGAACTTATTTTGTCTTGCACACGAACTGTATAATAGTTGCATTACATAGTAAAAGCACAATGAGGCGTATTAAAACATAGCCAGTTCTAAACAGTCTGGATATTTCCTGTCATAGAAAAGAAGTATCCTGCCCATAGATTCACATTAACATACATGGTACATTAATATCAATCTCTGTATCATACATGAGGCCACAGGATGTGGTTTGCATACAGGGTTAAATTCTGCAACAAACTCATTCTAACAGCTCAGAAGGCACCAGGTGGGACATATACGAGAATGACAAGAGAGACTGGATAAATGACCTCTTATATCCAAGAGTGCAGCTGAGTCCTGGAGCCACCTTGGGCCGTACACCCCAAGCTGCCCAGGCTCCGACGGCTGAAGTCGTTTGTAAAGCAGGTCAACAAACCCCTCTGTGACCCGAAAACAGTATCCATTGGGAGAATCAACCACCTTACCAAAAATGAAAACTGGAAAGAAACTGAACGAGTGAGGTGGTTCATCTAACTAGGTAATACTGTTTTTAGTCTAAAACCGAGGTTATACAGTATGAGCTTACGATATTTTTATGAAATAACGCATGCTTTCTATGTTTGTTTGCCCACCGCTCCCTCCCACCACGAGGTATTTCATAAGCGCACTAAACAGAGAAGGCAGGCGTTATTTTCGTAAAAATACAGTACATATTTGGCTCTAGAGCTCCAGAAATGTTTTACAAAACAAGAAGCAAACATTAGCAAGGAGTCTTGTTGGTATAAGTACCTGGCCACCCAGAGGACTACTTTGAAGGACAAACGAATCTGCATATAAAACAGCCAGTAAGATCATTGTGTTTTTTTTTTTTTTTAAATAACCACCTTATTCTTCATACTTGTTCTTTACAGACAAGACTATTCAATGTCATGAACCTTTACAGGTTTAAAGCAAGAGTTGATATCATGTTCATCTATTAAAGATATTTTATAAAACAAGAATTCCACTAAAAATTTCTGATAACAGGCTTCTTTGCCTGCCTCTGTCTATGAAGATAAAAGACACAGCTCCTCCTATACCTCCTCTCCCCAATACTGGTGTGCCCAGAGTAACCACAGGTGGCGCCTCTCAGTGACAGAGCACTCGATCTTGCCCATGACTTTGTCACTGAGGACCCAACATCAGGGGCCCGTTAGGAACACAAGCACGACGAAATGATTCTGACCCATCATCCCTTCCGACACCAGGCCTGCTGACCAGTAGATGGGTCAACAGTCAAGCACAATCTAGCCAACTTCATTTGGAGGGTAGCATGCCCAAGAAGATGCCTGGCATATTAGAGAGACACTGTGTGACCACCTCCCTCTTGACTGCCCCCCAATGCCGTCTCGCCCCGTGAGCGAGTCCCGAGTCCTCCCTTGTCTGGAGTTTCAGCTAGTCCCCAACAAGGCATGTGCAGCCCATCACTGCGGCACTGTTCTGTCCCCACAGCAGAACACAACCATGGGACAAGAGTCCCACACAGATGCCTGGACTCCGTGGGGGGCAGGCTAGGTCTTACTTCTTCGGAGGAGTGTGGACACGGGACTGTGGCCAGGTGACCCACCCAGCTGCTGGCCACCCTGGAACTTGAGGCTCTGCAGGTTGATGTGGGCCCCGTGCTTGAGAAGCACCTCCACCGTCTTTGCGTGCCTGCCCTGGGCAGCCAGGTGCAGTGCGCTGAGCCCCCGGTCATCGGACAGGTTGATGCTGTCAGCACTGACCAGCTCCTCCACCACCTCCGAGTGTCCATGGGCAGCGGCCAGGTGGAGAGCCGTCTGGCTCAGCGGCCCCCGAGCCAGCAAATTAGCCTTCTCCTCCACCAGCAGCTTCACGGTGGTGAGGTGTCCATTCCGGGCGGCCAGGTGCAGGGCGGTGCAGCCCTCGGCCGTCAGCCCCTCCTTCTCAGCGCCACGGTGCAGGAGCAACCGCGAGGTGCTGGTGTGGCCCGTCTCTGCGGCCACGTGCAGGGGCGTCTGCAAGAGCTGGTTACAGATGTTGACATCAGAGTGCAGGTCGATGAGGATGCGGGCCACGCGGTAGTGCCCCCGCTGGGCAGCCAGGTGCAGGGGCGTCCTCCCATCCAGGGTCTGGGCATTCACGCTCACACCCGGCTGCTTGGCCAGCAGCTTCACAATGGGCAGGTGGCCCTGCCAGGTGGCGTAGTGCAGTGGGACCCAGGCGTCCTTGCCCTGCAGGCCAGCATCCACACCGCGGCGCAGCAGGATACGCACGATGGTCTCCTGGCCATGCTGGCAGGCCACGTGCACAGGCGTGCGGCCCTCGCAGTCCGCCTCGTCGACGGAGGCATTCTTTTCCAGCAGCAGCCGTGTGCTGGTCTCATCCCCGTTCTGGGCAGCAAAGTGCAGGGCGGTCCACTGGTCCTCATCCTTGGCGTTGACACTGATCTTGCGGGCCAGCAGCAGCTCCACGACCCCGCGCACCCTCCGCTCGACGGCCAAGTGCAGGGGTGTGGAGCCCTTCCGGTTGGTCAGGTTGGGGTTGGCGTTGTTGAGCAGAAGCCACTTGACGCACTCCTCCTGGCCGGCCTCCACGGCTAGGTGCAGGAGGCTGGCGCTGCCCTCCAGGAGCAGGTCCACATCCTGGGGCTGCAGGATCTTCATCAGCCGGCTGGTGTCCCCACATACAATGGCATCCACCAGCTTCTTCTTCTGAATGTCTGTCGTGCCGAGATCTGCAAGGAGAAGAGAGGCACAGGGTCAGCGGAGGCAGGTGGCCAGGGGCACATTCAGCCTCACCCTGAGGCCTCTCTGGTGTTCTCATTCGGCCAGAGCCCCTATGGGACGCTGAGCAGGGACATCCGAGGACGCACAGCCTCCAGGTGGCTTTTCACTTTATTTTAGTCTTAGATATTACAATAGTCAGTTTTATGTGTCAACTTGGCTAGACTATACAGAAAAGAAAAAACCAAACTTGTTGCCGTCGAGTCAATTCTGACTCATAGTGACCCTACAGGACAGAACAGAATTGCCTCATAGGATTTCCAAGGAGTACCTGGTAGATTCGAACTGCCAACTTTTTGGTTTGCAGCCATAGCTCTTAACCACTACGCCACCAGGGTAGCATCCAGTTATTCAGTCAAACACTGATCCAGGTGTTGCTGCACAGGTATTTTGTAGACATGGTAGACATCCACAATCGCTGACTCTTAGTAAAGATTACCCTGGATAATGTGGGTGGGCCTGAACCAATCAGCGGAAAGGCTTAAGAACAAAAACTGAGGTTTCCCAGAGAAGGAGAAACTCCGCCTCAAGACCGTAACATAGAAATCCTACCAGTTTCCCATCTGCTGCCTGCCCAACAGATTTTGGACTTGTCCAACCAGGCCTGCGGCCCTGGTGGCATAGTGGCCAAGAGCTCGGTTGCTAACCAAAAAGTCAGCAGTTCAAATCCACCAGCCACTCCTTGGAAACCCTAGGGGGCAGTTCTACTCTGTCCTATAGGGTCGCTATGAGTTGGTCTGGTAACCGTAATCATTTAAACCAATTCCTTGCAATAAATCTCTCTATATACATGATACGTGTGTATCTGAGAGTGTACGTATATGTATTTTTTATGTGTGCATGCGTATGTGTGTTTATATATACACACATACATATATAGATGGAGGGATGAATGGATAAGTAGGGGGACGGATGGACAGATTGGGTGGGTGGATGGATGGATGGATGGATGGGTGGCGGGTGATGGGCGGGTGGATGGATGGATGGATGGATGGATGGGTGGGTGGGTGGATGGATGGGTGGGTGATGGGTGGATGGATGGCTGGGTGGTGGGTGATGGGTGGATGGATGGGTGGGTGGGTAGATGAGTGGGTGGGTGAATGGATGGATGGGTGGGTGATGGATGGGTGGATGGATGGATGGATGGATGGATGGGTGGGTGGATGGATGGGTGGGTGGATGGATGGGTGGTCTGGCAAACGGATGGATGGATGACAGGTAGGTAGGCAGACAGGTAGACAGATCTACTGGCTCTGTCTCTGGAGAGCCCTAACACAGATCTGCTCCAGACTCCTAGCGGGGAGACCTTGGGCAGGTCATTTAATGCATTTCAAAAATAAAAGCCAGTCTACCTGTCCTGCGGCATCATGATTAGATGATTAGACAAATTCCTTCATTTAAAAAAAAAGGCAAGGCAAGGACTAAAAAGACGAGGCCAGAGCCCCCAGAACTTCAACAGTGCCCACCGCACCACCCTGTAGAGCTCACCAGCCGCAAAGCTGGTGTCTGCAGCTAGACAGGGACAACCCGGCTCTCAGCCCAACCTCGAAATGCCGCCCCCCGCCCTGGTGACCCATAAAGGACATTTTCTAGAAAAATCTTCAAAGGGCTGGGAGGAACGTTCATTAGCCCAGAATAGGAAATGTTCTACTTAACGTACAAATCCTATTACGTTGTCTGGAATTCTGAGTTGTGCAAAATAAAACTCTCCTTCCTCCCATTAAACATTCTCAAAGGGACCTAAGAGAAGGGTGGGGTGTGGGTGGCCTTAAAAAACAACCCAATCTGGATTCCATGTTTTATTGCTCTCGTTCTCAGTTGGGTCTGTGATACTCTCTCAAGCATGAAGACGTCAGCCGAGAGCTTTAGATCCAAAAAGAATGTTCCAGAACGTATTTCTCCAGCGGAGATAGTGATGTTTCTTCCCAGTTTCTCGGAGTTAGCCCTAACTTTCCTCTTCAGCCTCATTGTCCCCCACCTCTAGTCAAACATTCAACCCAGCACCCCCCACCTCTGTGTCTCTGCTGAGGTGTTTCCCTAACCCAAAGTGTACTCTTTTACCACTGATGTTCCGCTCTAAAATTCCTAGCAGGCCCATAGGATCCAGTAAAAGTTCTCCCCTCTAAGAGGTTTCCCCGACCCACCAGGACAAACAAGCACTCCCTCCTCCTGGTGTCCAGTCTGTACAAGACTCTCTGGGCTCTCATCTATCTGTGCACCATATGTCTGTATTTCCTAATGGAGCTGCAGCCTTGAGGGACGGGCCAGGACCACATCTCATCCCCACAGTGGGCAGAGAGGGGGCTACAATATGCATCGAGCCCCAGTTTTGGGGCAGGGGCTGTTGTTAGCTGCTATCAAGTTGGCCCCCAACTCATGATGACCCCCATACACAATGGGACTGAACGGTTACAATCCATAGGGTCTTCACTGGCTGACTTTTTGCAAGTAAAACGCCAGGTCTTTTTTCCTAGCCCAGCTTTGTCTGGAAGCTCCGCTGAAACCTGTTCAGCGTGATAGCAACGCACAAGCCTCCACCGACATAGAGGTGGTGGCTGTGCATGAGGTGCGCCGGCCGGGCCTCAAACCCAAGCCTCCCGCATTGAGGGGGAGAAGTGTATCACTAAACCACCACTGTCCCTATGGGGAAGGGGCAGGAAAGAAGCACTCTCTAAAAAGAAAAGCTATAAAAATTAACATAAAAAGACAAGATCAGCCACCCACGAGGGGCTCTCACCATAACTGGGAGTTTATAAACGTGACCAGGGTATCTTAAACTCCCAGGCCAACTAACCTATTGCAGTGCACGGTGAGTGAGCGAGTGGGTAGCCCAGAAATAAGAAAAGTGTGGGGGATATTTACACAGCACTGCCTGGAAAGAGTGGAGAGTGGCATCTACCAAGGAGAAATATCCCTTGGGAGGGTGGGTCCTCCACCCGCTGGCTCACTCACAAAACTCAGGTTCCTCAGTCTGGAAGTCTGAGGTCAGACCCTGCACCTGTTTGGCACAGGTGAGACCCTATCGTACAGTCAGGTGACTCGGTCCGTTCCTCTTCCTCTCTAAGTGCCACCCAAGAGCTCAGTGGATTTGTACTTGATGAATTGACAACGCACTGACACCCAAAATGGCTCAGTGAAGGCAGAGAGTTATGTTCGGGTTGAGAACTTGGACACCTGATTCTTCTCAGTTGTCACTGACTCCCATGCGCCCTGAACCTTCCAGCCCACGGGTAAGCTCATTAGTTCTCAGGACACAAAGGTGTTTCCCGCTCACCTCCCGCTGAAGGCTCACGCTCGAAAGACAAGGACAGCGACCCTCTGGACGAGAAGGCGGAATCGACCGAGGAGATGCCCGAGAGTCTTTTGCCGCTGCTCGTCGAGGGGAGTTTGGATTCCGAGGAGCTGCGGCTGAGCTCTTCCGGGCCCTCGATGGTCTGAGAAATCCCCGAGTCCAGCTGTGACAGCAACTCGGAAAGGCTGTAGTCATTATCGAACGCTGGGGCCGAGGCGCGCTTGAGGGGCGTGGACACGGGCACCGCCTGTAAGGGGTGGAGAGAAGGAAATGCATGAAGACCCCACCCCCTCTCGCTCAGCCCACCCAGGACACAGATGTGGAAAAGCAAGGGGAACTACAGGCAGAAGGGTGAGTGTTCTGGATTGAACTGTGTCCCCACCAAAACTGCAAACAGTTACACGCTCAACTACTAGCCAAAAGGTTAGCGGTTCAAACCCACCCAGAGGCACCTTGAGAGACAGGTCTGGCAGTTCGACTCGGCACACATGGGGTCTCGAGAAGTTGGAATCCACTCCATGGCAACCAACAGCAATAATCCTTGTGGATGTAATCCCATTTGGAATAGGGTTTGCTTTGTTTTGTCAATGAGGCCATATCATATCAGCATAGAGTGTGTTTTAAGCCAATCACTTTTGAGATATAAAAAGAGCAGATTAAGCACAGAAGCGAAGAAGCCCTGGTGGCATAATAATGAAGTGCAGCCACTTCTCAGGTAGAAGACCTGGTGCCCTGCTTCTGTAAAGATTACAGCCAAGAAAACCCTATGGGGAAGTTCTACTCTGTCAACTGGGGCTGCTCTGAGTAGGAACCTAGCAGATGACACCTAACAACAAAGCACAGAAGCCAGGAAGCACAGACGGGGGAAGACAGACACCACGCCACATGAAGAGTGCCAAGGAACCAAGGAACACAAGGTGAAGAGACGAGGATCTTCCCCCAGAGCCAACAGAGAGAGCCTTCCCCTAGAGCCGGCACCCTAAATTCGTACTTCTAGCCTCCTAAACTGGGAGAAAATACCCACTTGTGGTATTTCTGTTACAGCAACACTTGGAATCTAAGACAGTGGGCCAGAGGAAGAAGAAAACACCATCGCTGGCCAGTAAGCGAGGCAGAGAATTCAATCGTCTGTAACCACGTACACACAGCACCGGGGAGCCCAACATTCAGAGCTGCGTCTACCCAGCACGAGGAAATCGTAAGACAAGAGCAACTTGATAAAAATGGAAACTCCCCATTATCCTGCTCCAGATTCCAACAGCTGAGCAGCATTACATGCAGCACTATACAGGCAAAAGTCAGAAGTTGAACAAGCTGAGAGAGCGTGAAATGGGGGTGGCTGGACCTTGTCCATCTAGAGGAGGGCAGTGTGAGAAACACAAGGAAGGCAAGCTGGAGCCTTCCTTGTCACTGTTGCTACGAAAACCAAAAAACCAAACCCGTTGCCATCGACTCGATTCCAACTCATAGTGACCCTATAGGACAGACTAGAACTGCCCCATAGGTTTCCAAGGAGCAGCTGGTGGATTTGAACTGCTGACCTTCTGGTTTGCAGCCGAGCTCTTTCACCACTGCCGCCACTAGGGCCCTGATGTCCTTGTTGTTAGCTGCCATCAAATCGGCCCCCGACTCATGGAGACCCCATGCACAAGGGAACAAAACAATGCTCAGTGTTGCACCATTCCCATGATTGCATGGGGATCAGACTGCTGTGATCCACAGGGTTCTCACTGGATGATTTTTGGAAGTAGATCACCTAGTCCATCTTAGTCTGGAAGCTCCACTGAAACCTGTTCAGCATCGTAGCAACATGCAAACCTCCACTGACAGGTATGTGGTGGCTACGCATGAGGTGCATCGGCCAGGAATCGAACCTTCTGCATCGAAGGTGAGAACTCTACCACTGCCCCCTTAGAGCCCTGCAAATCTGGCTTAGGGGCTGAGTGTGGACACTGGAGAGGGGGTGGGGACTAGCTGCAGGGATTACACAGCAGTCCAATCCAATATATACTGAGGGTTTTGTGAGATGATTAGACTCTGTCCATGACTCATGAATCTTTTTTGATTCATGCCCATTTGCTTCCAAATCCTTCCTCTCCTTGCAAACCAGGGACACCCAAGAGCCTGATTTGTTCTTAGTTTGTTGCTTTCTGTATTGAGTCATACCCACTTGTTGGTTGCCTTTTTTTTTTCTTATCAGGGGCCAGGTCTGACTTTTTGTGGTTGCCTCCCTGGCCACCTTTGCTCCCTGACCCTCACACACACACACACAAGCCCCTTTATGTTCAGACAGTGGGTGTGCCACAAAGGTTACTTATCTCCCGACTTTACACTGACAACCTGGAATAAATTGCCCAATATCAGATAACACGCTATAAAGTCAGCTTATTAGGCTTTACTTACAAGTCTTACTATCCTAAAACGGAGTTAGAGTCCCAGCATTTGAAAGTTCTCACTGCCTCTAAATGACTTACGTAGAGCTCAATAACGGAACCACCATTTATGAGCAGTTAAAACAAAAGAGGCCAGATACCCAAGCCAGGGGTGCAAAGACACTGCACCCCAGATTGTGCCCCACTCAACTGGGCCCAGCAGCCAAACCAACTGGGGTGTTCTGTTCCCTGTGGTTCAAAGAGCACACGCTATGTGGCTATTTAATATCTCGTGTGACCCACACAGTCCACATGTAACTACACGGATGGGAGGTGGGGGACAGGGAGCACCCACACAGTCCACATGTAACAACGTGGATGGGAGGGGGCACAGGGAGCACCCACACAGTCCACACGTGATGACATGGACAGGAGGTGGGGACAGGGGGCACCCACACAGCCCACACATCATGACAGGGACGGGGGGAACAGGGAGCACACACACAGCCCACACATCATGACAGGGACGGGGGGAACAGGGAGCACACACACAGCCCACACATAATGACATGGACGGGGGGCCAGGGAGCACCCACACAGCCCACATGTAACGACACGGACGGGAGGGGGGACAGGGGGCACCCACACAGCCCACATGTAACAACACGGACGGGAGGGGGGACAGGGGGCACCCACACAGTTCACACGTAACGATACGGATGGGAAGGGGGGACAGGGGACACCCACACAGTCCACACAGAATGACACGGATGAGGGGGTACAGGGGGCACCCATACAGTCCACATGTAACGACATGGATGGGGGGACAAGGAGCACCCACACAGTCCACACGTGACAACACAGACAGGAGGTGGGGACAGGGGGCACCCACACAGTCCACACGTAATGACACGGAAGGGAGATGGGGTACAGGGGGCACAGTGCGGCAGGAAAGGAGTCAGGAGCCGTGCAGCTGGCTGGGGGGATGTGCACCCTGCACCAGGCCCGGGCCACACGACGGGCTGGGGCCACACAACAGGCTGGGGAACACAGCCACTCTCAGAAGGGGGGGACGAGCATCCAGGCTGGTGGGGGGCCCCTCCACAGCATCAGAGTTATTTGCAGAATGGAAGAGTCTCACCGGGAAGACTCAGGCACGAAGCCAACGAGAAGAAACCCAAACGCCACCTCCCAGGAGGTCTGAGTCACCTGGCTCTTGCGCTCGGGGGGACTTCTCACGTCCAGACCTCGAGCTGCTTCTCTCACCTCATCATCGGGCTTTTCATACAGGTCCTCGGTTTCAGACGTAATTTCTTTGGGGAGAAAACAAAAGAAAGGGCACGTCACTCCGATAATCACTTCCACGGCTGACCACGAGGACAGAGCGGCAACAGCCCCGAGCCTCAGCGTCATGGAAGATGCGCATAATGGGTTCCTTGGATTTCACAGGTGGCCTGCCCAGAGCTGGGCTCCTCAGACAACCCCAGGGGCCTCTGCGTGGTGACTGCCGGCCACACCGGGGCCTCCCGCCAGCAGCTCCGCAGGCTTTTGCCAGACTGAAAGTAGGAGCCGCTCTTTCCCAGGATCCTAAAGGAGGCTTCCTCGGGCAGAGCCCCACCTGCCAGGTGTGTCGGGGCGCATGGCCCTCAGGTGGTCAGGTTGCCCACACCTGGGTGGGGCACCCAGCTCACCCGTATTCTCGTCACCCTTGTCTTTTAGATGCAGTGATCGGTTTCAGTATAATCAGGCTACCTTCCTAACCAAGGGACACATCTGGCCTAAGGAAACAAGACGCGCAGGGAAGCGTGTGGGAAACCCTCAGTCACCTGTCCTGCCATCTCCTGAAGACAAATCGCCGTATCTGGACGGGAAAGGTACAGGCTCTTCCGGGCAGCAACCCAGCCCTGAGCTGGGAGCGGGCTGGGCGCTGGGAACTGCCCACATGGTGCCGGTCACGTGCATCCCGGCTGTGGGTCTGAGGGCCATGGGTAGAGGTGTGGCCCACCTGCTGGCACAGGGCTCGTCTTGGTCCACCTGTCTCTATGCACACTGACCCAAGCCCGCAGCTATTCTCGGACCCTAAGCTCTAGGCAGAAACGCTTTCTTCCACAATGCCAGCAGAAGAGGAAAGCAGAAACATTTTGGGGGGAGCCCAATGCTGGGGTCCCCTCTGAAGGCAGGCAGGGGGCTAGCTGGCAGTGCCCACTCACCCTGGAAGGTGGGCCGTGCGTGTGGGTCATCCTGCCAGCACCGCTGCATGAGGCGGATCAAGTTGCTGCAGGCACGGGGCCGGGCTCTGCAGACCGGTGGCAGCTCGGGGCGGTGGCCCTTTACCACCTTCACCATGATGTGTAGAATGTTCTTCTCGTCTGCAAGGGGAAGGTGCACAAGTCACAACAGCTCTGGGAGCCGGGGGATGAGGTGCTTATCAGCAGGAGGAAGCAGGGACCGTGGGAAAGCACCCGGGGGCAAAGGCTCGTCACCCGGGAAACCACGTCTCCCCTCTGCGAGGCACACAGCCCTCTTCAGCCCTTGTTCTTACAGGACACACATGCTCTCATCCCTATCTTCAAGAGTTAGGATTTCCCAAATGGAATCAGGGTGCTACATCACAGAGGAGATCTTTCTGAGCCTGTAGCTCAAAGGAAAGGCAGCTTCAAAGGAGGAAAATATCCGACAGGGCATGTTCCCAAGTGGCCCATGGCCCGTGCCTGCCCGAGAAGTCAAAAACAGAAATCATGGCGTCGGCAGTGTCCAGCATGCAAATGGACCCAGATTGCCCAAAAATGGCTTAAAAACATCTTCCTGAATTCCAATTCCTGCCCCAAATCACAGGCCCCCGCTAGCTTCCCGAGAGCTGACCCCAAGATGCTATAACCTTAATCAGTAAACGGGCAGGACACACAGGCTTATTACTGGGGGGTAGGGGTTGAGGTTCCATTTTAATTGGGATGGGCTCAGGGGGACCCTCATCGGGCCAGTTTTCCCAACCTGAAAGCACGCTGTCCATCAAGCCCAAGCGTCAAGTCCCCAGTGCTGCCCTTCCTCCCTGCTCTAGTTCCCAACACTCCCCATTGGACAGGACCTCTTTGGAGAGGCAGGTTGACATATCTCAGCAGGTATGGAAAATTGGCCCTAAGTCACCAAGCACTGCCAGATCCTACACTTTCCCGTTAAATCTTGCGCAATCTCGAGTATCTATACCCCATTCCCATGATAACTGAGCCTTCCAAAAGCCAACAGGCCCTCTAAATAAAATGACGTGACAATTAACCTCCACACCTGGAATATTCCCTGCTGCTCAACACAAACTGCTCTAAAAAGTATCACGAGATACTCCCGGCTCCTGTACCTTGAACTCCCCTATCGACCAAGCAATAAAGTGTGAGGGACTCATTCCCGACTTTTTACACTATGTGCTTGGATTCAGGTGTCACTTCTATCAGACAATTGTATGGCACAGCGGCACGCTGCTAAGTTAAAAAAAACATTCAGATCACAGGCCTCAACGGAGGCCATTAGGGAAGCAAGGATAACAGGTAGTAAGACAATGGAGATGGAGCACTGCTCCCATAGGGACATTAGAATATTCCATTCTTTCTATCGGGATAAAGAGAATTCCCAGGATACTCTAAGTTTTGAGATACTCTGAACTTCTCTTCCCACCAGCATAAACTTTAAACAGACTCCTGGTCTATGACTATGCCAACGGTCACGAAGAAGGTACAGGAGCTGGCAATGTTTCTTTCTGTGACACATAAGGTCACCGAGAGTTGGAAACGACTTGACCTCAACTAAAAACAGTCTATGGCTCACACCCAGCAAGTGACCCCCCAGACCTGTGGGCCACAGACTGACTCTGATCTGTATTTTTAGGCATTTTTGGTCATACCTAAAAAAAACTGATTGTGCAAGGTTTAATGGGAAAGCGGAACCAAATCGGTGTAGGATCTGGTAGCTGTTGGTAACTCTGTGCTAGTTTTCCACCCCTGCTGATAGCGTCTGCCTGCCTCTCCAAAGCTCTCTTCCCACGGGGTGTGTTGGGAACTGTGGACCAGGGCGGCTGTAGGGAACTCAAAGCTTGAGCTCAGCTTGATGGACAGAAATGCATGGAGAAGTAAAGGCTGTCTTTCTCCAACGAAGCTGCAAAGATACTCAGTGTTTACAATGAGCTAAGTCAAGGTATTAAAATGCTGAAGGGAAACTAATCTATGGTGACAGAAATTAGAATTGTGGTTGCCTGGAAGGTGAAGAAGGAAAATTAGAGATCCTGAGCTGGGTGGGGTGACCGGCTGTGCACATCTGTCAAAATAAACAGAACAGGACCCCTCAGATCTGTGCCCTTTCTTGCGGGTAAATGATACTGTGAGGGCATTTTGTCAGGAGGAGGGTGATCTCTGGGCAGGACGGAGCAGCCCGACCCCAGGGTGGCCGAGCTGGCCTCAAGGCGCAGGGCAGCACACACCACAGGTGAGCCCAGGGCAGACCACAGGTAAGTCCGAGAGCAGGAGGAGTTACAAGGATGGTCCCATTAGTTCCAGAGAGACAAATGCACCACACCTGGAGAGCAGCCCACTCACCTGCAAACGGCTTCTTCTGTGTGAGTACTCCCCACAGGACGATGGCAAAGCTGGAAGAGAAACCAGGGATGTGAGTGTCTCGGGACCCAGACCCCCAAGGAAAGCACAAAGCTCTCGCACACAGCGGTCAGTAGGAAGAAAACCACCTTAAAGGCTTTTACAAAGAGAAACAACACCAATTCTCACACATTTTTAAAAAGGAGAAAACTCTTATCACAGAACATGTCACAAGGATAGCTTAGCTGCTAAATAAGAGACGCAGCCTTGCCAACAGAGCTGCAAGTCTCCCCGCAGCCTGAGGGATCCCGAGGAGGATTCCAATCTATAACGGGACCCCAGGTTCTTAGAGAGCATGGCCTGCGTCTGCTTAATCCCCCCTCACCCCACCGCATTCCGGCAAGCACCGGGCACGCGGTAGGTGCTCGAGCATTTGTGAATAAAGGGATGAATGAATGACACACAGCTCAGATTCCCCTCTCTTCTCCTTGGCTATGTCTTGATTCCTTGAAGACACAGAACAAAACGCTCCCGCTGTGCCTCAGCTCTGCGAGAGACTCATTCACTGAGATCTCATCAGAGGGCTGACAGAGGAAATACGCAGAAAACATCAGGGGACAAGCCAGCTGATTGCCCCAAAGGCACATTTTGGCTGTTAGAAAGTGTATCTATTCACCTAACGCACTATAAAAAAATTTAAAAAGAAAGCATGTATATTTAGTAACTACTCTGGGGAGACCCAAAAATAGAGCTCAACCTGGTAACTAAAAACCTGATAACCAGGAGCCCAAGAATCAGCCACTGTGCACAGTCGAGTGACTCCTTATAAAGGAGCAAGAATTCTTCCTTTAAAACTGAAATTGGCAAGTTCGAAAGTTTAAAGGCTCAACTCTAAAACAAATACAAGATTCTCTGATTTTCCCCAGACTCTACAAGCCGGGGCTAGTCTGCGCAGGGCCCTTCCCCGGCGGACGCACGGCTCAAAGGCACAGCTCATCAGCTGGACAGTAGTGACTGCCAAACGAACGAGTCGGCTGGGACTCGGGCGGGTGGTGATGACAAGGAGGCAGGAGCCCAAGTGACTTGGGGCTTAGGGTCAGAGTCTCAGTGGGTAAGAGGAGAACCACAAAGAGGGCTCAAGTGCAAGCTTGCTTTCTCCTCCCTCTTTTCTTCTCTAGAAAGGGCGAGTGATTAAGACCTTTAAATTTGAAAAAGAAAGGGAGTGAATGACTTAGGGATTGTTCTCGAGGTACATAACTCCCACTGACTTCAGATTTTGGACAGCCTCTAGGGTGTCTATGTTCCCAAGCCAAAGGTAAGAGAGCTAGGAAGGTGCGCCGCTGGGCCAGGGGGTACTGAGTGCTGGACAGGCCAAATCCACATGAATCCACCCACGGGAGACATGCATGCACACACACGCACACACACGCAGGCACTTACAGCACCAGATCCTTCCAAAAGACACGCAATAAAATCCACACTTTCACAAAAACACCAAAGCTTTTACACTGTCGAGCTGGTCAGTCTGGTGTTATAACTGACCCAAATGGACACTCCCACCACCGCTAGCACGCACCCTCCACCCTCAGCCCGACAGCACCCCTAGACAGAGATGTCCTTTGTATTCCTGGGGTAGCCTGTACCCTCTGGCTAAGAAGATCCCAAGCCCAACAAGCTTGCATCCCTTCATCTGGACCAAACCCCATTGTTGGCTGGCGCCGGGAGGGTTTCCGGATGCGCCGTCCAGGGCGTGAACAAGTCCCGGCTCGCCTGGGATGCGGGGTGAAGTAGCGTCTTACCCACCTGTACACATCGTGCTTGGTGTCAAAGAGCCGGCTCTTCTCCCGGATGCGCTCTGGAGGGAGGTAGGCAATGGTGCCAAACAGCCCATCCATGCTGAGGTCGTGCGAATGGGACAGCCCATTGCACTTGGCGAGCCCAAAGTCAGAAATCTGTAACACAGGTGGCACAAAGAGGCCGTTACCCTTTGTCTGCTGCCGTGCTGGGACAGGCGCCAAGACTGACATTTCCCTAACCAGCTGCCATTCAGCTGACCCTGACTCGTGGTGACCCCATGGGTGTCACAGTGGAACTGGGCTCCACAGGGTTTTCAATGGCTGATTTTTTTTTTTTCTGGAAGCAGGTCGCCAGGCCTTTCTTCCAAGGTGCCTCTGGGTGGACTCAAACCTCCAGCTTCTCAGCGAGTAGCTGAGGGCTGAACCACGTGCAGTACCCAGGGACAGCTAACATGTTACTATATTTTATCAGCTAACAGCTTCAGAACCTCTCCCCTTTGCAGTGCCACCTCAGCCCCTGCCCACCCCCCCCGGGAACCGGAATTAGGGTGGTGCCAAGGAAGAAAGCTGCTGCCGGGGAGCTTCCTAGGGGTCCTGACAGACTACGGCCTGGGATTGTCACTGTAGTCCTATCCCTAGGCGGGCAGGGATGGCTTAGGAGGACTGAAGTCTGAAACTACATAGCAACATATGTGATTGATGGGAGAAAAGATTATGCTTTAAGGAAGGAATTCACTGCGAGAAAGAGCTCAAGAACAGTTACAGCCTTACTCCTGGAAGGCATGATAGCTGCCACTATACGTGTCAGCCTGGGTTAAAAAAAAAAAATCCCGCTGCCATCAAGTTGACTCCGACTTACGGCACCTGTGTGTTACAGGGCACAGCCACTGTGCTCCATAGGGTTTTCAATAGCCGCAAGCTTTTTTTTAATTTAAACATTTTACCCCTTCTTTCTTTTAATGAGATACAATTCACATACCATTAAATTCACTATTTTAAAGAGCACAGCCCCGTGGTTTTGGTATCTCCACAGTCCTGTACGACTTTCATTGCGATCTAACTTTAGAATATTTTCAACTCTCCAAAAAGAAACCCTGTACCCATTAGCAGTCACTCCTCATTCCCCGACACCGCCACCCCCGGCAACCACTAATCTACTTCCTATCTCTATAGACTTGCCTATTTCAGACATCTGCTATTCATGGAATCATACACTCTGTGGTCAGTGGTTGTAATCTTTACAGAAGCAGATAGCCTGGCCTTTCTCCCGCAGGCCCGCTGGGTAGGTTTGAACTGCCAACCTTTAGGTTAGTATCAAGTACCAACCGTTTCAGCCACCCAGGGACGGCAGCCTGGGTAGGAGAGGGGAAAGCAGGCTGCAGACTGTGCCGGCCCAGAGCGGACACACGAAGAGCCGGGCTGGCCTGCCAGGGCGATCCGCCTACGCAATCGGGCGCAGGGAGGGCAGGCGAGTAGAAGCAAGTTTTTTAAAGGGAAGCACACCTTCGAAGCCCTTTAAAGCAAACAAAATCCCAACCACACAGCCTCACTAGGCCTTCTGTTCTCCACCCAGAATACTGTTAGGCTACTTCACCCACCACGTGGCATTCCAGTGACCATCTGAAAGCACCTTCCCGGTCCGCAGTGCCCCTACTTGGGAGGATACCAAGGACTCAGGACCCACGGCTCTCCCTTTCTCTAACGGGGAATCTATGGCGTCCTTAAAGCTCGCTTAAGCCCATGACTGGCGAGGGACAGACTTTGCAGACTCTAGCCCACCTGGCAGCACCTGGGGGCACGCCAGCCTTGCTCCCGGCTTCCCCCTCTCCTGTGTGAACCAGACCCCTTTGAAGTTGCTCAGCGTTGTGTGTGGGATTAAGCCACAACGCGGTAACATTAATGGGAACCACGGTCCACGTGGAAAATGGCCCCTTTGTGTTCTCCTTCAAGGCTTAGGGATTTTTTTAAGCCTTTTAATTAACTCTCAGCTCTTCCTCAAGCACACCTACTGAGAGATCGGAAACAGGGCTGAGTCAGCCATGATTCCACGCTGGCTGTGCCCAGGTGAGCCAGCGGGCCCAGGTGAGCAACGCGCCTGGTGTCACCACCAGCTGAACGGCAGGAGGATTTATAACCGGTGACTTGGTCCTTCAAGGGATCCCCGGCCCCATTGGCGGGGAGATGGGAAGGAGGCCGGCAAGACAGGGCCTCACTATTTCTGCAGCCAGGCCTCCGCGTGCAACCAGGAGGGGGCAGGCGGTGCGGCCCAGGTGCACCAGATGCCGGCTCTGGACCCCCGAGTTCCTGCCTGTCCTGTGGCCTTCAAGCCTCGACAGCACTTGAAAGAACGCTCTCCTCTCTCCAGTCTAGTAAGCAAATTGTTAATTCGCCAGAACAAAACTGTCCCCCAATCCTGCCAATCCGCAAAGCAGCCAGAGGCTGGGAAACGATGCCTTGTAACTCTCGAAACAAGTTTACCAACGGGAAGGTTAAGTTAAAAAAAAAAAAAAGCAGCCACTTCTTTCGAGTTGTTAAAAGCCACAGAGGCATCTGGGTGAACTTCCCTGAGGAAGGAAACCCTGGTGGTGTAGTGGTTAAGAGCTGCGGCTGCTAACCAAAAGGTTAGCAGTTCGAATCCACCAGGTGCTCCTTGGAAACTCTATGGGGCAGTTCTCCCTCCTGTAGGGTTGCCATGAGTCAGATCGACTCAACAGCAACAGGTTTGGTTGTTGTTGTTTTTTATTTACCTGAGGACAGCATTTTATACTGTAGAGAATGAGTCTCCAGGTCCAGCTTCTTAAGTCACAATGAATACTACAATGCCACCAACCCTGCCCTCTTTCCCAAAGTGTTCATGTCTACATTGCTGGTGGTTTACTAACACACCAAAATTTTTATCTCCGAGCAGTTCTACACGAAACGTTAATTATATATCCGTTCATATATGAGGCCCTGGGGACGCAGTGGTTAAACGTCGGGCTGCTAACCAAAAGGTCCACAGTTTAAATCCACCAGCTGCTCCTTGGAAACCCTACGTGGCAGTTCTACTCCGTCCTATAGAGTTGCTATGAGTTGGAATCGATTCAACAACAACAGGTTACTGATTTTTGTGTATGTATGTACATACATGTATGTTTGCATATATACGTATATATACATGTACATATATATATACATATATACATATACATATATACATACATATACATATATATATATAAATGTATCAGCAGCTTAAAACTATAAATGCAGAAATGATGTCCGACTGTGATGTAGGAATTGTTGCGCCCAGAGCTTCCCCCTGACTTGTGGCCTTTTTATTTCTGTCATTTTCAGATCTACCCAGCCACTTCAGAATCTAATTGGTGAAAAGGAATAAAGCATAAATTCTACATTAAATCTCTGGCATCAAAACACTAACTCCAAAATTCAGAATTCCTTGATGGCCGCCAGCCTCTCCTGGGTCTCTTCCCTTCTGTCCCCACATGGACCCCATACTCGTTGTCATCAACTCGATTCCCACTCATTGTGACCCCACGTGTTAGAGAGAACTGAGCTCCACTGGAATTTCTGCTTCTTTATGTAAGATCGCCAGATCTTTCTTCCTTGGCACTGCTGCGTGGGTTCGAACCGCCAACCTTTAGGTTAGTAACCAAATCCACTGAGTCGATTCTAACTCGTAACAGACCTACAGTACAAAGTAGAACTGCCCCATAGCGTTTCCAAAGAGCAGCTGGTAGATTCAAACTGCCGACCTTTTGGTTAGCAGCCACAGCTTGCTGTAGCTCTTGACCACTGCACCACCAGTGTGCAAACTGTTCACGCCACCTAGGGGCCTCCAACATTTCCCACTTGTCCTGCCTCATGGCGGCCTGTCTCCCTCCCCACATGGATCCTCACCGTCACAATCACTTTCAACATCAACTATAATTCACAGACGCACCTTCACATACACATCTGACTCACTGTGACTGAGAGCGCAGTGCTAAACAGTATTCCCAAGTACGTGGTCGCCTCGACTTCTGAGTCAAACCAGACTAGATTAATTAAGAGGACAGTTTGGGCTGTGCATCCTTATAGAGGGAGGCGTCTTTTAACCCACAACAGAACATTCCCTCGTGTATTCCTTTGAACACAGTCTGTTCTGGACAAACTGGATATGTAAGTACAGCCTGTAATTTTAAACCAAGTCATTTCATTTTTAACTTGAAATGTGTTTACACATTTACGCTACTGATTACACAAACACTTTGAACTTCGTGAAATAGGTGGCTGTTGCAAAATTCAGCTCTTTCTAACAGCGTGTATCAGGACCAACTGCCGTCAAGTTGGTTCCAACTCTTGGCAACCCCCATGTGTCACAGAGTACAACCATGCTCCACAGGGCTTTCAGGGGCTGATTTTTCAGAAGTAGATCACCAGGCTTTTCTTCTGAGGAACCTTTGGGTAGACTTGAATCTTCAACCTTTCAGTTAGCAGCCTAGCTCATTAACCACTGGCACCATTCAGGGACTCCATTGCCTATAGAAGAAGGTCGTATATGAGGGGCACAAGGCCAGTGGCTGGAATGGCACCTACGACCTTATTTGAAGATTCTACATTAAAGTTTAACTGCTTCAAATAATTGCCCACTGGATACCGCCCAATGGCAAATAAATGCAAAGCTTTCAAACTATGTCCTCAGGAACAAACGAGCTGACACTCAAAACCTCAAACCCGCACTCAGCTGCCCTGTACACGCCCCATTAGCTATTTTAAGAACAAAAGAAACATGTTATGTAAATACATTTTTCTGTTTGTTTTGGGGTTTCTGTGATGGTGACTAACACGCCTGATTAACAAGGGAGTCACACAGAGCACCCACCCCCCAGGCATTTGGGGACGAGGCCCTCAGGGAGGAGGGGGCTCGGTGTCCCAGCCCTGCCAGGGGTGACAGCATGGGACACAGTATCACTCCACTTCCCATCAAATGCTCTGTCAGGAAAACGGCCCCCATGAAATCTGTATCCTACTCTCCTCAGAGCCACTCTAAGCTCTTTATTAACGCATCGTTCCATTCTTTCTGGACTCTTCACCCACTAGTTAAAACTGCCGTAAAGCCAGCAGGCCTGCAAACTCAGATGCTTATAAGGAGAGGGGAATAGAAAGCATTGAAGAATCAATGTCGGAACTGCCTACAAGGAAAGCAAGTCCTTGGCTTCTCAGAAGAGAACAGCACTCATTTCCTTAGCGTGCAAGTATTAAGTGCCTACTATAAGGCATCGAAACCCTGGTGGTGCAGTGGTTAAGAGTTCCGCTGCTAACCAAGAGGTCAGCAGTTCGAATCCACCAGGCGCTCCTTGGAAACTCTACGGGCAGTTCTACTTTGCCTTATAGGATCGCTATGAGTCGGAATCGACTCGACAGCAATGGGTTTGGTTTTTTGGTTTTTCTAAGACATTAAGAAGCCCTGGTGGTACAGTGGTTAAGGCGCTCGGCTGTTAACCAAAAGGTCAGTGGTTGAAACCCACCAGCCACTCTGCAGGAGAAAGATATGGCGGTCTGCTTCTATAAAGATTTACAGCCTTGGAAACCCTATGGGGCAGTTCCACTCTGTCCTATAGGGTCGCTATGAGTCGGAATCGACTTGACAGCAGTGGGTTTCGTTTTTGGTATCAGGCATTGGTGGTTCAGTGGCAGAATCCTCGCCTCCCATGTGGGAGGTGCAGATTCAATTCCCAGCAGTGCACCCCACGTGCAGCCACCACCCATCTGTCAGAGGAGGCTTCTGTGTTGCTATGACGCTGAACAGGTTTCAGCAGAGGGTCTAGGCTAAGATGGACTAGGAAGAAAGGCCTGGCCATCTACTTCTAAAAATCAGCCAATGAAAACTCTACGGATCATAATGGTCCCAGTGCAACCAATCATGGGGATGGCGCAGGACGGGGCAGTGGTTTGTTCCGTTGGGTGTGGGGCTGCCCTAAGTTGGGGACTGACTCAACGGCCGCTAAGGACGACATGGCCCATCTTCTAGCTAGTATCCTATTATTCAGAAATAACTAGTTAGGGGCAGTTGACACTTACTGTGCGAAGTGAAAACCGACTTGCCCACTGCCCGCCACGGCTCAGCAGGAGAGCAGTGAGGGAGTGCAGTCTGTGAGCGGGGCAGGCAGCCGTGCACAGCCCACGTGCAATCTCTCTTCTGGCCCCACCCTCGTTTCACAGGTGAGCAAACCGAGGCCCAAATTAAGGAAGGGCAGGGCTGGACACTGGACACTGGACCCAGGTCCCTCTGGCCCTCAGCCCCGCAGAGGTGTCCCACAAGTACTTTGCAACTAGCAAGGTTAAAGCGATCAGAGCACACCAGCAAACGCCTCTGTCGGCTCCCCCAAATAAGCTAGGCAGGCTTCAGGTCATCATGTTCACTGAGTCGGGGGTGATGCAATACGCAATGGTGTGGCCCAGCACATGACCCCGAGTATCTCGAGAAGTATGGATGTCACTGTGGGAGGGAGGCCCCGGTACAGGCCACCACGGGCACAGATGACAGTACAAGCTTGGACACAAAGTTTCCTCCAAAGGAGAAACCTGTTCACAGGAAAGCTGGTGATAGGGAACCCAAGGTTGAGTAAGGACAGTGTTGACATGTCGTGGGGTTGTTAACCATTGTCATAGGCCAACGTGTGCACTAACCGTTTAATGAGAAACTATTTTATTCTGTAAACCTTCATCTAAAGTGAGAATAGCAGCACAACTGGAAGAACGTAATCGATGTCACTGAACTGCGCATGTAGAAATTTTTGAAATGGTGTATCTTTGGCTATGTACATTTTCACCAAAAAAAAAAAAAAAAAAGAGGTTGAGAAGGGAGAGGGTTGACATGTCGTGGGGTTGTTGACCAATGTCATAAAACAGTATGTGTACTGACTGTTTAATGAGAAACTATTTGTTCTGTAAACCTTCACCTAAGGTACAATAAAAAAAAATTAAAAAAGTAACAAATCGGAAAAAGAAAGAAAATCTGAGGGGGAAAAAAAAAAAGGAGAAACATGGTCAAAGAAACACAGCTTCCAAGCAAAAAAGACAATGCAACTGTCGATTCTGGGTGGTTGGTACCTGGTTTTAAGCTGCATTATCCCTCATACTTTTTCTATGTTTTATAAACATCCCAAAAAAGCAAACTCATAGGCCTTGCATCACTACTATATTCCAGCTCTCCACACCCTCCTTCAAGTTGATTCTGACTCACAGCAACCCTACAGGACAGAGCAGAACTGCCTCATAGGGTTTCCAAGGAGTGGCTGGTGGATTTGAACTGCCAATCTTTTGAGTTTTGTAGCCGTAGCTCTAAACCACTGCACCACCAGGGCTCCACCACATAGGGGGAGAGGGTCAAACAAGCCCCCTCTTCCCACGACACTCTGCAGCCTCCACTTCGGAGAGTCCCACATTCCCACCCACCACCAGCCCCTGAAACCACTCGTGGGAAATACATCCCTAAACCTTGAAACCAAAGGTCTCATATGGAGATGTCTGACCCACAGTCTGATTTCTAACCCTGATTTCCTAAGACCTTCATTAAAACTGGAGTCCCTAAGGGGTGAAAACGGTTAAGCACTCAGCTGCTCACTGAAAGATTGGAAGTTCAAGTTCACCCAGAGGTGCCTCAGAAGAAATGCCTGGTGATCTACTTCCAAAAAATCAGCCACTGAAAACCCCATGAAGCACAGCTCTCCTTGGACACTCGTGGGGTTACCATGAGTTGCAGTTGACCCAACAGGAACTAATCATGAAGACCAGAATCCGTATCTGTTTCTCCAGGATGCCCAGAATTCAGTCAGTGTCATAGATTGAATTATGCCCCCCGCCCAAAATGTGTGTAGCAATTTGGCTGGGTCATGATTCCTAGTATTGTATGATTGTCTACCATTTTGAATTTCTGATGTGATTCTCTTAGGCGTCATAAACTCTATCACCATGATGTAATAAGATGGATTAGCGGCAGTTATACTGATGAGGTCTACAAGATTAGATAGTGTCTTAAGCCAATCTCTTTTGAGATATAAAAGAGAGAAGTGAGCAGAGACACATGGGAACCTCATACCACCAAGAAAGCAGTGCCAGGAGCAGTTTGTCCTTTGGACCTGAGGTTCCTGAGCTGAGTTGCTCCCAGACCAAGGGAAGACTGATACATCACAAGGACCTTCCTCCAGAGCCGACAGAGAGAGAAAGCCTTCTCTTGGAGCTGATGCCCTGAATTTGGACTTGTAGCCTACTGGACTGTGAGAGAATAAACTTCTCTTTGTTAAAGCCATCCGCTTGTGGTATTTCTGTTAGAGCAGCACTCGATGACTAAGATACTCATGTGCCAGGATTTGAAGCAATGACCCTTGTATTCATAAGGGTCCATTTTCTAACTACACATTTTTGTGCTGTTTACATCAAATGCAACAAGGTTAGGGATTACTAGATATCTTACGCCGAGAAAGGCATCTGTTTAAAGTTCTTTCCTCTAAGAAGAAAAATGTACTTTTCTGCCTTTGTACAGAATTTAAACGGAGTCCCTTGGTGGCATGAAAGGCTAAGCACTCAGCTACTAATCAAAAGGTTGGAGGTTTGAATCCACCCCCAGGTACCTTGGAAGAAAGGCCTGGTGATATACATCCAAAAAATCAGCCATTGAAAATCCTATTGAGTGTAGTTCGTTTCTGACACGCACACGAGGTTCCATGAGTCAGTGCCGGCTTCATGGCAACTGGCTTTTTAACAGAATTTAAGGCTCCATTTCTCAGCGGCATTAACCTGGAGGTGGATCTGCCCTGTGCCCTTAAAGTACCCAGCACTCTGGCCCCCACTCAGCCACCTTACCCCCGCCCGGCCCGGGCAAGCCCCCACCTTGACATGGTAGTGGGCGTCCAGCAGGATGTTGGCGGGCTTGAGGTCCAGGTGAAGAAGCGGCGGTGCCATGCAGTGTAGGAAATTCATGCCCACCGCCGTCTCATGGATGATGCGGAAACGCAGCTCCCACGGGAGCGGCTCCGAGGCCAGCAGTTTTTCCAGCGAGCCTGTCTCCATGTACTCCATGACGAGGCCGACGGGCTCTCGGCATATGCCGTACACCGGCAAAATGTAACGAAACTTAGCCATCTCCATCTTCTTGGCTTCTTCCAGGAGTTCCAGGCGTTCCCTGAAAAAGTTCAGAGACGTGAAGAGCATGCAATGGTCACACCCCACAGAATGAAGCTCCCCAGCCTAGCGACAACCAGCTCAGAAGGCTGAGAAAATGACAAGGGTACATGCACATGTGGGCGAGCGCGCGCACACACACACACACACACGCAGAGCTCACATTAATGTCACATAAGCCAATTCCAGGCCCTTCCAACGTCTGCAGTCCTACGGCTATTCAAACACACCTCTGCATCACGAAGTCACTGCCAATGAGGACAGAACTCCTAATTATTTGAACACCTACAGGTAGCACAGAGCCACAGCAAACACTATGGGTCTCAGAGTCAGGAGGTTAATGCCAACAATCCCTTCTCTCAGGATGAGGTTCCAACTAAAAGCTGTAACTAATTGCCTATCCCAGGAACCCAACTCCCTTTCTTTGTTTAAACCCAACACTTCGGCCAGCCTAGTTATTCCTGAATTCAACCACACACTTAATTTAATAGAACACCATGAGTCTAAAGCATGGGTCTGCAAACTACACTTGGAGGGCCAAGTCCAGCCTGCCACCTGTTCTTGTAAATAAAGTTTTATTGGTAACATAGCAACTCCCCCTCATTTGTGTATTGTCTGTGCCTGTTTTACACCACAACAGCAGTTAAGAAGCTGCGGCAGAGTAAAATATTTGCTCTCTGGCCCTTCACAGAAAAAGTTTGCCGGCCCCTGGTCTAAGACCTCTTCTCTGGTACAATCTGTGTGTATCAAAAAAACCAAAACCGTTGCTGTCGATTCTGACTCATAGCAACCCTATAGGACAGAGTAGAACTGCCCCATAGAGTTTCCAAGGAGTGCCTAGTGGATTCAAACTGCTGACCTGTTGGATAGCAGCCGCAGCACTTAACCACCACACCCCCAGTGTTTCCAACCCTTGTATATGCAGACTAAAATCCCAGGGCAATGGTCTGTGTTAGCATTACAGGTCAGGAGTCTCAGAGTGTGCTCGGGAAAAAGGCTGGACTCCATGAGGGCACGTTCTGGTCACGTACAAACTAGGTCAGCAGCTCCCAAACCTGCACGCAGAGTAGAAATCACCAGGGGAGCTCTCTGAAATGCAGATCTCCAGGCCCCACTCCTTGGGAAACTGGTTCTGTTGGGGCCAGGCAATCTGCTTTCTAATAACTTCCTCTGAGGGAAACTTCCAGAATCTCACCTGCAGCGGCACAGACCTACTGGAGCTGAGGGCTGAGGAACATCTGTGCACAGGCCATGCAGGCAGCAGGCGAGGTGGCCTCCAGGAGATTCGTTCAGAACGCAGGGTTCAGCACAAGGCCTGTCACAGCTTGGTTCCCATCCCGCTCCTCCCGGACGCTGCCTGCTGCTTTGTGGCAAATGTCACTCCCAGTGTTAACCTTGCAGCAGCCGCTAGGAAGCCACTCAGCCGCACCTGCTCCAACCTCCTAGCCTGCTGGAGAATCCAGAACTGGGCCACCCAGGCAAGATTGTTTCTTATTGGTTTGACCTCCACCTGAGACTAGAGCATGCTCCCAGGCTTCCCTTAAGGTTATGAAAAAATGTCCCAGGGAAGGAGGACAGGAGGCAAGGTGAAGTCCCTGCACGAGGCCAGTGACAGCTGCCATCCACTCAATCCCGACTCATGGCGACCCCGTGTGCATAGACCTGTGTTCCATAAGGTCTTCAGTGGCTGATTTTTTTGGAAGTAGATCACCATGCCTTTCTTCCAAGGCACCTCTGAGTGGACTTCAACCTCCAATCTTCCGGTTAGCAGCCGAACATGTTAACCACCTGCTCTGCTCCACCCAGGGACTCCCGCTAAAGGATACTGGCTACCAAGAGCTGCAGCCCCGAGGCTCTGGCTGTGCTGAGCTCTTGCCAGGAAATTCCCATGCAGGCACCAGGCACCTGGAGACCTTTAGCCTCTCTGATCACCTGAGTCCAAGTCCTACAGCTGTGAATGGGTCACAGGTGCACACACGCCCGGGGCTGTCGGTGACCCAGGCGGCGGACTCCAGGGTATAGACCAGTGGGTCTCAACTAGGGTGACTTTAATGCCTGAAGACATTTTGGTTGTCACAGCTTGGGGGGACTACTGGCATCTGGTGGGTGGAGGCCAGCGACACTGCTAAGTATCCTACAGTGCACAAGATAACCCCAGGACGAAGAACGATCTGGCCCCCAATGTCAACAGCGCAGAGTTTGAAAACGCTTGGCAGAGATGCATTTTCAGCTGCATTTGCAATAAACCACCACGGGCTGAATCACCCACTCAAGTAATCCCAACACTTAGTCTGCCTTTCTTTTCTTTTTCTTTTTTTTTTTCAGTCTACATTTATTTTAAACTATTTCTAATTAAAGTTAATTTATGGAAAGTATTTACAGAGTACCTCCTCCACGTTAGGGTCCATGACAAGAGACTCCACCCTGCCTCCCTTAGGTTTACCTTCTCGAGAAGACAGGCGTTGGTGTTAGGTACCATGGAGTTGATTCCGACTCACAGGACCCCACGTGACCGAGTAGAACTGCCCCATAGCATTTCTTTTTGGCTGTAATCTTTATGGAAGCAGATTGCCAGGTCTTTCTCCCACCGAGCCACCGGGTGGGTATGAACCACCAACCGTTTGGTTAGCAGCTGAGCACTGAACTGCTGCACCACCAGGGCTACCCAGAAGATGGATAATTACACCCACAAAAAAAGTGAAGTTAGAAAATCTAAGTACTTTGAAGGAAAAGTATGGGGGTGGGGGTGCAGTTGAGACAATAAAGGGGGGACACTAATTTAGACTGGGGAAAGGAATGCAAGAAAGGGGTCTACGAGGAAGCCTCCAAGAAGCTGAGAACCTGCCCAGGAGGCAGAGGTGAGGGGGGCGCGGGCGAGGGGGGCACAGGTGAAGGAGGGGACATGGGGGCTGAGTTCCCAGCAGAGCGGGCAGCACATGCCAGGGCCGGAGGAGGCAAAGGGCCAGCTGCCTGGAGGACCCAAAGGTTATCAGAGTGGTGGGGACAGGGTCAGGCCCCGCAGGACCTCACAGGCCACGGGAGCACTTGGGCTTTGGTCCTGCCTAATGGTTTCCAAGCAGCGATGATCCGTTCAAACGTGAGTTTGGGCTGCTGTACGTGGACAGTGAGTGGGGGGCAGGGGCACTGGAAAGAGAAGGGGCACCTGGAGGGACTCCTGCCTACGAGGGTCCAGGGGTCATGGTGGGCCTGAGGCGTGGCTGCCGAAGTGGAGCAAGAGGAAGCTGGCAGATGCCTGACATACTCGGGATGGAGAAGCGACGGGCCCGGATGAGGACTGGATGTGACAGGCAAGGCAGTAAGGACGCTCCTGGGTGCCCACTGAGAGCTGGGGCAGTGGTGGGGGCCAACTATGGGAGTGGGGACCCCGCAGGAGGAGCAGGGGGCGGGAGAGTCAAGAGTCCTGTTTGAGCATGCTCAGGGGGCCAAGAAGCCCACTGAACCGAACACTAGGAGTGAAGCTAAACCGATTTCTGCACACCTTGCTCTTTGAGCCCCCCAGTGACGTGAGGGATGAATGGGAAGCAAGGCCTCTACAGGAGAGCATAAGCCAGCTGTGGGGGTTCTCAGGAAGGGCCCCCAGCAGGCCTGGGCCAAAGGGCTCACCCTCTGCCAGGCAGGAAATCATCAGCTGCTCCCCGCTTCAGGGGGAAACTCCAGGAGCCGGAGGACCAGCCCTCCGCCTCCACCCCTGCAGCCTTCGCACAGGGCCGGATGTGGGACCAGCCCAGGCACAGTGACCAACCCTCCGCCAGGCTGGTGGGACTCCCAATCCCACTCCAGTCTAACGGGCATCTGAAGACAAAGAAGGCAAAGGGCTGGGCACCCACCTCAAGCATCTTTTAAAATAAAATCAGTCACTCGAGGAGGAGAAAGAAAGAGACACCTCCCCTTTCCTCTCCTCCTGGGAAAACACCCGGGCTAAGAAGCTGCACTGCCCCTTTAACTGGATGCTGCTTTCTGTTGTATATTTCATGAAGAATCAGCTTCAGGATTTCTATTCGTGCCCTACTGCTTATATTTTCTTTTAAAAAGTCGCCAGCTGGCCAACCCTGCCCACACCAGCGCAGGTGCTCCTCTGAGGGGCCCTGCCCCAGGTAGCACTGACATGTCTTTTGGTGGGATTCAGGAGATGCACTTCCAGCACGAAGCAGTGCAGGATATCCCCCCCCACCATGTCCTTGGGCTTGTGGGGCTGACAATGCACGTGGCCACTGACAAGAGCACCTCCCACTTTCAACCTTCTGAGAGTGCCCCCTCAAAGCCAAGTCTGTCTGATCACAAACAGTATTTTGACAACAAAATCAATTACATTAAGATGCAGTATCTTAGGTAAGTGGAATCTCTGAGCCACTGTGCAAGTAAAGTGTTTCTTACATCTGCCCAAAGGGCTGAATACATAAAACCCAGGTGACTTCTGACTGCTGAGCTCACTGGAGACTCCCGGCAGGCAGCGCTGGCAGCACATCACTCGGCCCTCTGCAGCTGGTTCACCAAGTTCTCACTCCCTCCCCTGCCCCGGGCCCTTTCCACAGAACCAAACCAAAAACCAAACCCACTGCCTTTGAGCTGATCAACTCCGACTCCTTGCGACCCTATCCAGAGACGTCATTTACCTTATTAAACACACACACACCCCGCTGGTTTGCACCTGAAAGCTGATCCCAGCCTGACAAGGTGCCAGTGCAAGCAGGCTTTGCACAGCAGCCTCAAGGGAGAAGAGTGGGGCGTCCCCGTTCCGGGGACCAAGCACTGCAGAGCACCTCTTCCAGAAAATCAACTCTCCTGGAAAACAAGTCACTTTCTTCAGGGACAATGCTGTCTCTTCTTGAAGGCTCAGTCAGACCTAGGCAGACAGGCCTTGGGGGGCCCGTGTCTCCCCCAGGTTCTGGTGGAGGGGTCCCTGGCACATGGCGGGAGGTTCACAGGAACAATGGATGCACCCTACCTGGGAGTGGATTAGCGGGGGCGCCCTCGTCTACC